CCTTCCCCTCGCTCGTACCCCCCACTCCGATAAACCTGTAAACCGTTGCTACGTCTTTGAAATGAACATTGTCTGTGACGCTGTTGTTGCTTATACGCGGCAGAGTGTGACTAGTTATGGCGAACGTGGGACAAGGTAAAGACTTGTCGTTCAAAAACTTCAATATAAAGCAAGCAAGTTAAAGGGGTTTTTTTTTTTCGTTGTGAGACATGAAGCAGTGAGGAACGAGGGGGCCGTGAAATGCGCGCCCGTTTTTTGGACGGCCTAACGAACTCTATTTCGGACCGCCCCCGAGATAAACGACGCTAAGTGTCATCCGATCAGCAAAGCACTTGTTGTTTTTACTCGACACGACGAAACACTCTATAGTAGACCAGTGATCGCCGGGGCGTTTTCTCGAAGATCAAGTGGACGGCCGAACACATCGTACTCGTATGTGCGTCGCACAAAGCGAATGACGGTCCCGAGAGTTAACTTCAAATGCATGAAACGGCGGAGAGGGCAACGGGACGGAATGAAGACGTTAGACATTGTTCCTAAAATATGGCAACTTGGCCGAGTGGTCTAAGGCGCTGGAATTAGGATATCTTCCACATCCAGTCCGAAAGGGCGTGAGTTCGAACCTCACAGTTGTCAATTCACGTGTTATTTTTCTCACATCCCCTGCAAGAAACACGAATGGTAGTTGGCAGCCACGGGGCAAAGCCCCAAGCAAATCTATTTTTTGAGAGCGAACGATACGGCACAAAGCAAATGATTAGAAAGAAAAATAAATAGGGAGTCGTGGGTGGGTCGCGAAATAATACCTGATTATATCATAGCGCTGTAAGTCGATGCGGCAAGATAGAAAAAATAGAAAGAAGAATCTTACAATAGTAACCGCAGAAACAGCTATACAATAGAGAAACCCAAGGAAAGAACTCTAACAAAAGTTGGAATGCGAGTGAGAATGCGAGACACGGCTGTCTCAATGTGGGATGGTAGTGCCTTTTGCCAAAATATGGTAACGTCGTATGCGACGTCGGAATGGCACTACTCCATGTATGTGAGATGGTCGCCTTGAGAACGCGAGCGTCAACGCTCGGATCGGTAACACAAGACGCCTGTGAATCGGGC